CAAAATGTACATGTACATGTACAATGTACGTGTGCATGTACATCAGATGTGTAGAGTAGAGTTCTCTGACATGGCGCACTTCGACTTCCACTTAACTTTTCTCTCACAGCATTTGCCAACCTTTTCATTGAAAAACTCCAAACTCATCTGGTTAAATACTGCTATAATAACAACCCTCATGACACGTTGTTGATCTATGTGAAAAATTTCAGTGTCATGAAATTTCATCCAATTTCATTGTCATGAAATTTCGTCCGAAAACCAAAAATGTCGACATTCAGAAATTGGGCTCGAATTCAGCTGAGTGGTCCCTAATGTGGCGCACTTGAAAAAATCTCAGAAAATCCTACATAAACATTTTCCAAATTCCATAAAGTTAATAAATTCTTGTAAAGCATCGTTCCTTCTGCTTACGGTACCTACCCATCTTCAAGTATATCAGAAAATCATTATCATATTTTTCAGCACATTCTAAAAGCATTCAGTTTGCGCAACTCAAAAAATTCAGACAACCGGGTGAAAATAAAATTTCAGCACAAGTTTTTAGCAGACACACAAAATTGAAATTTATGAATCAGAATAATCGGAGTTTGATGAAGTTTTACTTATTGTGAAATTTGAGGTAAAAATATTGCTCTGGTAAGACACAAGAGGCGAAAAAGCAAAGTACACCATGTTAGGGTACATCAACTACATATACATGTATGTACAACGTACATGTATCTTCAACAATGAACTGCCAAAATGCACGTACAAGTACATACATGTACATTATAGGCCTACACGTACCGTACAACAAACTTGACGTGTTAATATACCTTTTCACATCTCTGAATCTCAGTGCCAACAATGAAGAGCAATACCAGTACACTGTTTGTACTTTTCAACACGGTACATGTAGAACTAGAAGTTCATATAAATGCTTGCACACATATGTACATGGTGCAATGTCTGTCCATTACAGTTGGTTAAGAAAATGTTAAGGCCAACTCAAGTGTGCCAAAGGTGTGTAAAAAATTTAAGGACCACAATTTGTAAATTCCTTGTACCGGTGCATGTACATGTACATGTATATATGTTCATGCAGTATTTTACATGGTCAAGTGCATGCACAACTCAAGCAGCAATGTACATGTACTCTGACTGTGAGTGGCAGCAAACTACTAATACTATGGTACCGGTAAGTACATGTACATTCATGTACCTCTCGTAACCGGTACATAATTTGTAATGCAACATCCACAGGCAAGCACTGACTCTCCAAAACCTGTGACCATGATTTATAACCTTTCCATATTGCAGCTGCTTGGAGAAGGATTCTGTATGCTGGGCTACAAAAGCACAAAGCAATGCATGGGGGGGGGGCATGCAAGCTTTCTACAGACACAATACATGTACATGTACATGTACACTATGTACATTGCATACAGATATGCACCTCCACCACTTTGACAAAAGGTAATCTGTGCTTTCTTTGCTCTATGGTGCTTCTAACCATGATCTAATGATTCCTGAGTGCTACATGTACATGTACATGTACATGCACTGCAGCTGCCTCCACACACACGGAAGCCATTTTTGGTCACACCAATTTGTTTGCTGTATTGTATGCAACAGGCATTCCACGGCCTGCGGTGAAAAAGTGCCCCGGACTACAAATGACCTGACCAGTAGGCTTGGAGGTTAGTTCAAGAGCAATGACACTTGCCCAAATGCCAGGATGGTAATCCAAGTGGAACATCTGGTTTTACCTGGTCCAGTGCCAGTGAACTCAATCTGCCTCCTTAATGAAAGTGAAGATGAATGAGGGTATCCTTGGGCTGACCAGCTGTCTGCTTTGATCACAGGGCCTACAAAGCAGTCACAGCAAATTGTGGTGTGAACGACAAATATAAACAGGCATGTGCATGCATGCGCTTGGATGCAAACTGTAAACACACACACACATTGTACAAGTACCTGAATTATGTCTCCAGTTTCCATGTTGTCAACATGTTTTGTTGACCGAGCAACGTGGGACCACTGTGTTGACAAGGATCAGTTATGAGGTGAAAATGGCATGTGGTTTCAATTGCATGACCAGAGAGGAACAAACCATGTGGCCACAGTTACCTTTGGCGGTATATGTACATGTATGTGTTAAGTTCATGTGAAATATGGCTTGACATCCATTAATAAAAACCTGGGACAGTTTTTCTATTCCTACTGGTCGAAATGGGTCACATGACCGAAACATTGGATTACGCCAACTGTAATGCGATAATGCCCACTGCATAAAGCATGCGCTGGCGCCTGGATACGAGACATATAGGTCCCCTCCCCCTAATCAATTCTGATTGGTCAAGAGTCTGTGTGCACACTGCACGCGGAACTCGCCGGCACACACTAAGTCCATTCTTCTGGACTACATGCACAAGGAAAATATCGGTAGGCCTACATGTACCATCAACTGGACGGGGGATGCTCAGGAAAATAAAAGTAAAATTCTTCAACAAAACCCTAAGAAATTTATCGTACATGTTAGTTGACTTCTTTTGACTCCTGACTAAAGATGGGGACAGTTTTTTCGTGAACACTGAGTGGGGTACATGTACATGCGTAATAGGGAATTTCAGCCTGGACTGTTTCCAGTTGCACTACAAACGCTATTAAAATATTGCCCAAAAGTCCTAAAAACGTGCCTTAATGTAAACATGCTTAGGGTCGGTAATTCTTAAAATTAATAGTGAATACAAGTCATGCACACCACTATGCACAACAACTTTACAACGGCAAACTGACCAACGATACCCGCGACTGTATGTACATCGCATGGTAAACATGCACACTGCATCTGTGGGATAGGCAATAAACTTTGTGTTGCAGCAGGAAATATTGTAGAAAGATGCTTCAAGTACAAGCAATACTATACAGGTACGTGTACACCAGTTCATGAATATGTAATGTAGTTATTACATGTTAAATGTCCTGGTACACCAGTTCATGAATATGTAGCGTACCGGTAGTTATTACGTGTTATACAATCATGTACATGTAGGAGTACCAGGACATGTATATTTCATTGTTCAGTTGCTCAAGATGTCAAACCTGAATAGCTTCTTTTTGTCCAAGGTCATTATGTCGGCCTATACATAAATACATATACATGTACAGGGGGGTACTACAGTACTTCACAGTGTTAACCTGTTATTCTTAGTATTATTGAAATCTAAGCATGGCTTCATTTCTGTCAACTGCCATTCAATTATTTATATATACTGGTATGAAATGGTTGGAGCCATTCATCCAGAACAATGCTATGTGCAGACTAGCGTGTATACATGTACAGTACATCACAAAAAATCACAAATACTGGTGTTGGGCATTTCCAACAACCTGGGAAGTGGTTGGGTGTCGTTGGGTGAGCCTGTTGACGTCCCAGTGTCTGGCTTGTCTGGGGCAACAACCAGGAAACTCCTCCTTAGTTGACATGTATGAGTCATTAGACAGGAAGTAATTCAACTTTTCTCCCCAACAGATGAACTGTCCACGAGGTGAAACCATGTCACAACCCCCTCATCAGTCAGAGGTGCACTTGCTTGGGTTCTACCGGCAACACCTCCGAGGGACACGCTGTACGTGTACATGTACCTACAGCCTCCACTTTAGGTACATGTACAGTGTACATGTCGGCCTACATGTACATGTACATGGTTGATGTTCTTGCAAATGTATATGTACACAGTACAGCGCTAAGTGAATCACAATATTCATCGAAGGACACTTAAAGGCAATGAGGTTGTATCCATCTTGAGGATCTTTGCTCCCGTTAAATGCATTAAAGAAATCAGACAATTTTTTTCTTGCAAGCTAACACTTCTTGTTGCTTGTTCACATAAGGTATCGTTACCAGTGACGAGGCACATCAAAGTAACACACAGGTACATGAACATGTATATCAAGCACAACACCTGATGAAATCATACCAATTGGCAGATCATCAATCATACAGTACATGTACGTCTTTGATTACTCAGTCCAACACACAGCAAAGATGTACTGAGAGGTTCAAATCCACAGTCAAAAGAATTTTTGAACAGCTCGGTGAGGTAATCATACAGGGATCAATTCATGAGGAGATTTATTCAGGTGATTCTAGCAATTTTTTCAGGAGTTATTCCGCTCTTGTACTGGTACGTGCATAAAACAATGTTTCATATTTGTGTAAAGAGAAAATAATTTATGAGGTGGCAGATGAAATGTTACAATCCGGCCAGCTTCACCGGTACTTCATGGAACGGCCAAAACAATCACTACATGTACATGTACAGTTTGTATAGTAACAGTTACTCAAACACATGATGTACATTCTTGCTTGAAACCTGAGGACCTTTTTAACTCTTGCAAAATATCATGGATGAATTTTGTCTCTTTCAAAAGTACATGTAGGTTTGAAGTTTTTTCCATTTCTGGACATTCAGTCACATGTCAATATCCTTATTATAACTGAGCTTTGGGGAATAAAGCATATTCCAAGTATACAGCAACTCAAAATGTTCCTGTCATGCCAATGAGTAGAATATTAAGTTCTTACATTGTCGTAAGCCCAAGAGAAAAAGACCAGATATCCCTCATATCAACACCTATGAGTACCAGCGAGATTCAATTGCCGAGAGCTCCTAGTTTCAATGGGGAGTCTACTTCATCGAATGCCCTAAGCATTGTGAGAAGCTCAACAAAAACACATACAGAGCAAAGGAACAAACCAAAGCTGTAAACCAAAGCTGACAACCTCCTTAGGCTACACCTATGTGAAAAAATCAACAAGTTTCTCATCTCTGTCAACTTTCTCCATCTCCACCTACATCCTTCTGTGTTCATGAGCCACACTGCTTCTTGCCCTTGATATCAATTCCTACGTGGTCTAGGCACTCCTTGTATCCAACTTCTGATAACTATTGTACATGTAGAGCCTTTTGCAGACGTGTTAGTACATCAGCCATCTTTTTATGCGGCCTTACCTGCTGCTGCCAAAATTTCATCCGTGTTGACCACAATGTGGGCGTTGAGCTCGTTCAGTTCCTGCTGCAGTTCGTGCAGCCTGATGTTGGCCTGCTTGACCATGTTGTTGATGTTGGCCAGGCTCTTCTTGTCCGTGGTCACCTTGCGCATGTTCTCCGCCCCCTCCTTAATCTTGAGCTCCTTCCGGATGTCCTTCTTGATCTGGTCCTTGATGCTGTCCAGGTTCTGCTGGAAGCTAGCGTCCGACAGGTCCAGGTCGGTGCCATAGCGTGTGCTCAGGTGCGAGGCCAGGCTTCCAATTCCCAACTCCCCGGTACCCTACAGTCGCAAGACCAAAAACGAAGGCCTATTAAAACTGAGCATTCAAACAAGAAATTACTTTTCAGAACAGGCCATACCATGTCATTCACCAGAAGGAATGATAGCGATATCCAGGCCACTTCAAGCTCCTAGACCCAAGGTCGTCCTGAACTTCCAAGGTCAAAACAATTACCATTATACCAGTAGCCTGTACAGTGTAAACTTTTAAAAAAAAAACAAAAAACCTTAACTTTGAGTGTTAGGTGCAATTGGTGATCTGCCCAATGTGTTGAACGTTTTATCACGCAAACTGACATCTGCTCAACCATCAGTCATGTGTAAAGGGCAGAATTTCTTGTTCCTGTAAACAACTGGTCGAAAGTACAAGGCAGAGTCTCCTTCATCAATCAGTTACTCCAATTACATGTACATGTATGACAAGACAAAGTCAGTCAACTTTTGCAAGATTGACTGCTCATGGAACTTGTAAGTTCTACATGTACCTTCTGTGATCTGTACATGGTGCACAGGACATTCCACTTGGTGTGATCAATCAAAATCCTTGCCACTGATCAATGTTTCGGGAACTGTAACTGCAGCTGGTCTAGTCCAGCATAGCTATGCCCGGTAGTGCTGCAGTTGGGCAAACCTGTCAATGCTACAAATCCGATGACCATGGCAATGTCATCACTGGTGATTTACAGTGGCCCCCTTCAGACAGATAACTTCTGTATGGAGCCAATGTTCCGTAACGGTCACTCCTTACAAAATTATCACAAAGCTTTTTGCCACTCACTAAAGGGAGCCAGCGGGCATGTCCAGTGACAACGTTGCTACATGCACATTGTACAGGTACATATAGGCTGATCTACAGTGTTCAGTGCCCAACCTGGTGCCAAATCATGTGCCCTTTACCAAATCATTGCACACACCGACAGAGTGCGTCAGCAAAATTTATTATTTGCTTTACGGGTGCACCCCAAAACCAAAGGCTGCAACATTTTGGGGCAAAATTTGCCAACTTTAGTTAGGCCAGCTCAACCACAGTGCTGCAAAGTACCAAAGTGTGATGTCATTCAGAATCAGTAAATGCTATACAAATGAATGGCAATGTATGGCACCCACGTGCATGTTGGTTCACGCGCTGTTTCTCAGGCTAATGCCATTTACACACATTACTGTGCACATCACATATTCACTTCGGTGATCCACAAAATTCTATCACAATTTATTAAAACTGAAAACTGTCTTATATAGGTGAGTATTGCATTACTTGTGACACCAGGGCATATAGTTTTTGTGTTGACTGAAGTAGTACCCAGGTTTGTCGATTTTCACGAGAAAGTCACGATAAAATATTGATTTCCCCTTGGTTAATTCTCTGTCCAGCTCGGTTTCCAGCCAGGAAAATTTCCAAGAATTCTTTAATCCTTTGTCTACTTTCATATCCCCTTCCCTACCTACTAGTACCTTGTACAACGTTTTTGATGGACATTAACGACATCAGACCACCACGAGAACGAAACACCTTGGCAGACGGACTCGAGTTGTACACAGTGCATGCAACGACAACAAATCAAATGTACCGTGCATACACACCTATGGTATGGGTCCCTATGAGTATGTTTTAACAATGATACCCCCTCCGTTTAATGTACCTATGTATCTGACGCATTTCCAGGGAGAGTAGCAACGCAACAGTGCTTGCTATACACCTAAACTTGTGCAACTCTTACGCTTAGTTACGCACCAAATATTGTAGTCTTTGCATTACATACAGTGTACACACTACATATATTGAAAGCATAGACAATACGGACATCCGGAAAGTCTCACAAATTCTGGATAGTCTCACAGAAATTCCGAAAATCCGGAAAATTCCAGACAAATCACAACCCTGCGTAACATATTACCGGCAACGGGCCTACCACCTGACCACTGTCATTTTATGCCAACTCAATTTCTTTAATTGAAATGAACTCAAACATGTCAAACCTGGTAAAAGGTCGTTGACTCCGTCGCCATCTTGGTTTCAGCAGTTTTAACTTCTATCACAAACCTTCACACTTTGAACACTTTTTCGCGGGTTGTCATCCAACAGCGTACATGTAGATGTACGCCTAAACGACGTACAACCGACCGATGGCTTCCCGTTGCAACCAACGTTAGCCTAGCTACTTGTACTTGTAGTTATGTAGAACAGTACGCCTACAGCCCACAGGCATTCGAATGGCGGTGCACAATCCACAGTGCCAAATATCTACGGACGAAACGACCAAGCAATTCGGTTTATATTCTTAATTCCTTGGCCGGTTTATCAATGCGTTATCACAGTTTGAAAGTTAAATGGAATCTTATCGTGAGCCATCATGCTAACTTGAAATCTACTGTTGCCATGTATTGCAAATTTACGTCCCAAATCGGCGACTAATCACAGTCCCCACAACAAATTCTACGAGTACGAGTGGAACCATTTATGGAGTCACGTGGTATTGTGGGCAATCATTGGCCAATCACGAGTGTCGTAAGAAGTCATTCTGGAACGCCCCAAAGTTTAGACACGGGTGGTTTAATTGGCGGAAGCTTTTAAGTTCAATGTAATCAGGCCGGTATGTTCTTGTTTTTCCTGCTGGAGCCAAGCCGGCCGCGTGCAGATACTGGCGCTGGCCGGCATAGGGCAGGCGACGCACTGGTTGAGTAATCGACCTTCGGTTTTTATTCTTTCATGTTGGAAAGAACACAACATTTTTTTTCATAAATTCATTTTGTTCAACGTGATGAGTAATGTCCAAACTGTGATTAAAACTGTTGCTTCTTCTCTTGCTATGCAATATCGCAATTTGCCATTTTCTTTTACGCTTAGTTACTTTTGGTTCATTCGTCTCTACCGCGGGTTCTATTCAACTGTGAATAGAACTTGTTTTTCTACATGTACTTGTATTGATGACCACGAGTTGGCTTAATGGCAGGTATTGAGGGCAGGCTAAATAAAAGTCATCAAAGTAAAGCATAGCATACTCATCCTATTTATAAAATCAAAACCAAGTACCAGAAACCAATCTTCATACTTAAAACAAAGGCGTGTTTGCAGGAGTTTGTGGAAGGCTAATGTCGTTGAAAGTGAAAGGGAATGAGAATTCTGGGATTTCTTCCAAATTCATATCTGATTGCTATGTGTAGAGAATTCTCTGGCGGAAGTCCTGAAACCTACATTGAAGGTATGGGATCATTATAGAGACCCATGTGATAATGGAGCCTACCCACTACCAGTAGTCTGTAACATAATTCTACTGATCGCTGTTACAATGAATGTGTGTTCTATTTATGGCGTTTGTACATGCATAAAAAAGGGGGACCTGGTTCGTTGATTTGGCTCGACCTTTTACTTGTTTGGGCTTTACCCCTTCTTACACCCCCCCCCCAAAAAAAAAGTAGGAAAAAACAGAGACAACCTTGCATGACGGACTCAAGAAGTGCCATGTAGGGTGAGTGAAACCACAGACAGCAAAAACAAATAGCCGGGGTGAGAACCTCTCTGACTTTTGCCTGCCAGGTGCTTTACCGCCCTCTTGCAGAGTTGTGGGTAAAGGAACTGAGTCGCTGGTACCCGAACAGCGGTGATGCAGTATCTTTTGAAATACTGCAATGTAGGCGCGCTCACCAATGAAATATCTTCTAAAAATAGACCATTACTCTATTTTTTCCCAGTCCAGCGCATGTTCTGGCGTGTCCGTGTTTCGTGCCGAACGGCGATGGATAAAAAGCCTCTGAAGTCTGAACCTTGTCGGACTTAAAAACTTTGTCTTATTTGAAAATCAGCACAAATTAATAGTGAAGTGTAAAGCATGTGCGGGAGGACAGCATGGTAGGTTACTTTGACACTGACTGGACATGTTGGAAAATTTCCTCTGGAGAACCAAATCTGCATGTATCTGATGACGATATCTTGACTTAGTCCGACTAACTTGGACCCTAAAAATCGCCTTTTTAAACATTAACATTGTGGAGCAGTAGTCTGATAGTAGGGTCCAAGCACCCTCCATAGGCTTTTGCTTCCATTAATTTATTTCACTCAAAACAGCTTGTACCCCAAGTGAAAATCATCCGAATTCACCTCTAACATGTCTAAATAAAAGTGTCTTTAAAATGTCTAACATAGCAAATGCGCCCGTCATGACGCTGTGGAGTTTAGAAGTGAGGTTCATCATCATCACTGTGCGCTTTGCCCCTGGCTTCAGAGAGGTGGCATGCATTACATGCTCAGGCAATAGACCATCAGGTGCCCATACTAATATGTTCTAAGACAGTGCTCACCGTGCATGCACACCTCATGACTTATCACCTAGCTAGACTAGCTCATGATGATATATACATCTGTACATGTACTCCATTCTCACCCACTCTGAAGAGGGGAATCGAGCAATTATTTGGCATGTACATGTAGACCTATCACATTTTTGTATGGTGGGGTCTGTCAGTTCTATGCCGGCTGTAAAAAAAAAGTGGGATCAGATGATGGCAAACTAGACACAAAGTGAGAATTAAGGTTGAATTTTGAACTTCACAGCACACTGGATCCAAACCAGACTCGGCGGGCCTGCACTTACACCAACAGGCAAGGCCGGCGGGTGCTGCCTAGGTGGCGCAATGGCCCCTCTGGTAATCAAGGCAACACAGGCGGCAAGCAGCAACAACAAGGGAAACAGCAGGGCAAGCAGCAGGCCTTGCAAGAGGGTAAAGGTCGCAGAAAGTACTACCCTTCCTTCAACTTGACACCAACTGCTGTCACGTGAGTCAATGGGCATGTCTGAAAATTTGGCTTTGTTTATCTATTTATTTATTATTTGTACTGGGTAGCCCATTCAGATTAATAAAAAATCTGTTCTCCTATGAGTCCTAGTGTACAAATAGTTATAACACTAAGATGGTTAAATAAATAATATATACGTACACTTTGTTCCATCGTTCCCTTCATCCCTGTCCTCGGAAATCTGAAAGTGTTAAGCCTTCGTGGGTTAAACTCAGTGACAGTTCTGTAGCCTTTGGTTTGGTATTGCAGAATGTACTCATCTTTAGTAGATTAAAATAATTAAAATTAACTTCAGAATGTTTGATTTGCCTTTACTTGTATTTCTTCTGGTTGATTGTAATGAGGGAATTGTAAATATTCAACGTAATGTCCTAAAAATTAGTCTGAAAAAACACTTCATATATAAACGCATTCATTAAATAGTTTCTTGATCTTCCATCATGTTTTTCTGTCTGTTACAACTTTTAATTTCTTTTTCATTGTTTGTTGTTCTTACTTAGCAACCTTAGGATATGTACTTAAAAATGTCTCTTCTTTGTGATTATTAACTGACTGTTGGAAGAGTGACGTGTGTGCTGTGGTGTGTTTATGTTCCAGGCCTGTGCTACTCTCGGCCAAGCACTTTGACAGTGAGGCGGCATCAGACGACCGCCAGCTAACCCCTATGCAGTGGGGCCTGGTCCCCTCCTGGCACAAAGGGGACCCCACAGCCCTGGGCTACAAGATGAACAACTGCCGACGGGAGGGCATGACGGGGAAGCGGTCCTTCAGCCGGCCGCTGGACAAGGGCCAGCGATGCGTGGTCCTGGCCGACGGGTGAGTGCGAGCACCGACCTTCCTGATTCTTTACACTCTGCCAGTAGCTGTCTGGGAGAATTAAGTAGGTTTCTGGGAAGATAACGAAAGACAATGTTTTTTTTTTAAACAGGAACTGTATTCCCCTGGTTGGAAAACGCTGCACAAGTTCTAATGCATTTGATGTGAGACGTCTTGAGAGCGCAGGACTGATTTCTGTTGAAATGTACAGTTTCCATGTGTTTGCTGTGCACTGAGCTGTAATTTTTCAACCAGCCTGTCTCTCTTTGCCCACAGAGGGGGTGCTTCTTGTCAAAGTGATACTGGCAAACAATCTTTGTTATGTGCGCTTTGATGTGATTGTATACACATGTCGAAAAAAGAACATCAAATCTATCTGGATACTTACGTTTTTTCAAATGCTAACTTAAGCACCAGTTTTGTGATAAGATGAATATTCCCTACGATGAAAAAGGAACCCTGGAAAGCCTAGGTTTAGAGCTCCACTGGTTGCATATTTCTTGCCATAAAAAGATTATTTTCAATTTCTTCTCAGTTACTATGAATGGTTGACTTCTAAAGACGGCAAGAAGCAGCCCTACTTCATCTACTTTCCTCAAGCCACACCCATCGAAAGCCTGGCCTCCAAGACCCCACCGGCAGAGCCAGAGCCAGTGGAGCAGCCTGATTGCCTGGCAGAGGAAGAGGTCACTGATGAGGGGTCGGAGTGGAAGGGTCACAAGCTGCTCACAATGGCTGGATTGTTTGACCGCTGGTTCCCACCTGAGGTCAGTGTCCAAACCTAATGGCACACCAGATTTTGGCCCATTGTAGCGGCACTTCATCATCCTGCATCCCCCAGGAATATCTAGTCTGACACCTTCCAAGATCCTAAAAAGTCCTCCACTCGTACTTGGACTCTTGGTTGTTAAATACATGTACAATGTTAAACTAGTGGCAGTGACAGTGTTATGTGGTGTCAGGTGGGTGCAAATGCACCCACTGAAAAGCCGCTTGCACCTAGATTTGCACCCACAGAAATTTTGTCACATATTGCTTTCAGGGTGATCAACCTTTTTGTTCAAAGACTCTGCATCGTAAACCAGAAAAACGAAGGATCATTTGCACCCACACGATTGTGCTTTGCCCCACACTTGCGCCCACAGCCACCGAGGTCTGGCGCCACCACTGACTAGGGGCTGGGCTGTCTGCATCATCCCTAACATGTCTTGGTAGATTTCAAAGGGCCTTGGTGGCTTACACTACAGTCAATAAAACCAACAGTGTCAATGGCACTAAAATATTTCAGCGTACATTTCCCGCATGCAAACAATCATGTTCTCTTAAACATCGCATAGGTGCAGTTTATGTGCTCGTAGAAAATTGAAATTAGTATGGTGAGTTGTTGCACTACACGCGAGATGAGTGCCATTTTGGAAACAATGATTAACCCTAACCCCCTAGGCTCCTGCACTAGAAAGCATACTGAACCTCACAAAATCCAACAGGTTCATGTACTTGTCTATGTACTTGATACAGCAAGCCAGAC